CATTCTTTACTCGATGTACATTTTATTACTTTCCTGGTTGCAATTCCCTCCTGGAATAATGTTGCTTTTTAACAGAGACCTGAGCTTTTTTTAAACCTCATCACTCAGACCTTGGCTGAGATGGTGGTCACTGCAGAACTTCCTGAAGTTATCTTGCCAGTGTTTTTTAAAGCTAAAACCCTTCCTTAAGAAAGCACCACAAACTCATCTTATAAGAGTCCATAATTCAGCAAAGTGACAACAGGACAAACGCCACCTATGCAAGAAGGGGATCCAGTTCTCTCATTGTGTGCACCGGCTCCAACTGAATGGCCTAACAGGACAGGAATCGTAAGACGGAAGAAACTGAAAAGTTGGCAGCAAACATCTCGCCTCCACTTCCCAGCAGCGTAGCCTCTATAGTGCGGGATCAACGTGCGCAACTGGCCGATAGAGGTGGGGACCGCTGTTCGGGATGCACGTAAAAAACACACGACAGGAGATAGTGAAACAGAGGGCAGAAAAAAAAATCACAAAGAAAGATGAAGCAACAGAGAGGAAGGTGCTAAAAACCACGGCCTGTGGTGTTCGATACAGTCAGTAACCCACAGGGACAGATAACCTTCCCCTGCTTCACAGCCGGGTGGAAATCTCGGCACTCTCTCTGCACTGGAGCAATTTTGGGAGAGGTCGCTTCACCCTAGGGCCATCGGAGAGGATTCCGGGAGAAAGCCAGGAGCGAACGGGGAGGGCTGGGACCCAGGAAGCTGAATGAGTGGCAACGCTCCAAGGGCTAAAGCAAGGGCCTGTGGAGTCCTCCCAGCTTCGTGCTGTCCAGGGCTCCAGAAACCACACAGGGAAGAGTCTCGTCCCCCTTTCTTTTGTTTGTCCCGATGGGGACCGGAAAGTGGGGAGACCTGCACGGGAGCACGTTCCCCCAGTCCGGTCTCCTGCCCACTCGCTGGACGGTCGGTCAGTTTACACAGCCCGTCTTCCAGCCCTTCTCTCGTCGGAGCCCTCGGGGTGGGGAGGGCCTACAGCATGGGAAAGCTCACTGAGGTTTCGATTTCTCACTGGAGGGTTCGTTTTGTTTCTGTCCCAGCGCATTCCGGAGTCCGCAGGCCGGGAGAGTCCAGCAGAAGTCTGTGTTCATGTGCAGACAAACTCAGTGGGCCCGACAGTCCCCTGAGCTTGAGTCTCCTCCTTTGAAAGAGGGCTTTGATGTCTGACAACGCCTACTCCGGCCTCCAGCACACACAGCCAAGGGGCTGAGGGGATCCGATTGTCCTTCTGGACAGCCCTGCCCTGTCAGAATTCCAGTGCAAATTTCTCTCACTATTTCCTCCTCCTCCTCTGCTTTGAAGAAGAACAACAGACCATGGTTTGTCTCCACGAGCAGAAAGTCAAAACCTTCAGAAGAAGCCACTTATTGTTTGGAGATCTGTGTAGCTGTTGAGCAACAGTTTGCTACACAATTACTCTCCTAAAACTAAAAAGTACTTAGACCTCACTCAGAAGACAATAATCCTGTTAGAGAAACAGATGAGTGTCACCGGACCCAAGAACTTCTCCTTATCCACAACACCTGCAGCAGGAGGCTTCCTCTACCACCTGAAAGCTTTCTCTTTCGTTTGAGCAGAATTAAATCCCCAAGGCTGGAAATTCAGATTCTGCCAAGTCGAGTCTAAAACAGAGCTCTGGAATCTCCCACGGTATATCACAGATGAGATACAGTATATACAGTACTTTTATGGTACATATGTACACAATTACATGAAAACAAAACTATAATTGAAACATGCAATGTTTGGCATCTTCAGATTTTTTTTCCTCTTTAAATTGCATTTGTCTCCTTATAAAAAAATATATGAATTTCTTCAGTCCTATGGAGAGTCAGGCTGTGGGATGGAGAGCAGAGAAGCTGTGCGTGTGCGCGCGTGCAACAGGCTTGTGATGGGCCGGAAGTCTCTGGTGACACTGGTTGGTTCAGAGGCAGCAGGACAGCGTGCTTCCCTCAGCATAGCAGATGAGGCAATTTCAATGCAACAGGCTAAAACCTAGCGGCTTGGGAAGTATTCCTGTACGATTCCCTGTTTTTGCCAAGATCAGCGAGCACATTTCCCACCCAAGAGGCATTCGGGGTGTCAGGAGGAGGGAACAAAAAAAAAAATCAATCTTCGTTCATGGGTTGAAAGACTATGGGGAGAAAAATTAAACATCTGTCCAGGATGTATAAGCCTTTCACAGGACAAAAAGACAGGCTAACAAAGAAGGGGGTCACTTATACCGCCTTTTACAGCACTTCTGCTTGTACATTATTAATCCCAAATGCCCCATTGTGATGTTTTTTGGGTGGGAGGGCTGCTAGTCTATGAGAACGAGTTCCTCTCAATACGCTCACTGCCCTGTGTTCAGTTCTGTTGTTCCTGCATGTAAAATTAGGAGTTCAGAGACAAAGGTCTCTCATTGGAATCAGAATGCTGGCCTCTTTACTATTCACTAAGAGGGTAGGGCAAGGCCCCAGATCTCTGCCTTCCAGTTTCCTGGAAAATCCAGAGCCTGTTCCTGCTCTTCAGTGGGACTTCAGAAAGTTTCTCCACAAGGAAAGGGCAAATTCTTTAAACGCGATTGTCTTTTTCTTTAAAATTAAATCCAAAAAGCTCCACCAGGAGTTATGAGTAGACTGTCAGACAGGTGTCACTAATTTAAAGCCCACAGAGAGCCCTGTGGTCTGTTGCATGCCAGCTAAATGTCACTGATGATTCTATTTGTAACCATGGGTTATTATTTCTATATTCTGGGCAGTGAAAACTTGGGTAGCTTTTGCAGCTGGGACCCTAATGAGAGAGTTTAAGGTGAAGAAGAGACCTGGATCTTAGGGCACTGCGAATGAGGGTCTTTGATCCTGTGTAGAGAGCTAAAGTACTTCAAGATCAGAATTCAGGGGTGTTGAAGCCACAGTTTGTTTTGACTGGGGGTGGGGGTGAGATCAACAGTAAAGAAACAAGTCTTGCGAGACAGCACTTTCAAGAAATCACCCTAAACAAGAACTGTCCACATTTCCACACCATCATCTTCTGCACTCTTAATGCATGTGAGGGGCGTGAGGTCAGACCCCCAGTGTCTACTGGGTTTTGACCCCGCTGAGCTCTACCACTTAAACCCTTAACTGACGTGCTAACAAGCTTAATTAGAGGATTGTCATCTTTTTCAGTTGTTGAAGAGTTGCAGACTGTAAATGCACACAAAACACTTCGGCAGTCGATGTGAAACCTGCAGCAGATCCAAGAGCCGAAACCAGTATTGCAGTTCTAATTAATCAAATTACCAGATCAATAAAGCAGTCAATTAAGCAATAAGGAACACACCGGATGAAAGCCCCTGGAGTAAGGAATGCAGGACGAGGAAGGGCCTTGCGTTCGCTCCAAGTAAAAGCGGGGAATGTTGGACGCTCGAGAGGGGGCGTGCTGTAGGAGGGGATGAGGAATGTGGCAGATCCAGATCTGCGCGTTCGTGCTCCGGTGTCCTTACTGTTGCTGCTTCCAGCTCCCAGACAAAGCCGGCGGCGCAGCCGAAGGGGACGTCCCGCCCGGCACACGGAGCAGGGGGCAGGGGGCAGGGGGCAAGCCCACATGCCTGCGGGCGGACACTCGCACAGCGACACGGGCTCTCCGGGTGTCTGTGCGACGCATGTAGGGGCAGGGCCCATGTGACATCATAGCAGGATGCAGCAGCGGCAGAACCTCTGGCGACTGCCCCCCACCGAGGGGGGCGGGGTGACGGGGGCGAAGTAGGCGTGGACTTTTATATTGGGGAGGTGCGTCTGGGGAGAGACGGAGAGAGATGAAGTTAGGGGGGGGAGAAAAGGGCAAAAGAACTGCAACAGAATGATAAGGTTGGAAGATGTAAGGTTTTTCTGGACCCCAGTTCCTTATGACTCCACTGGCTTTAGTTCTTTCATTCCAGGTTCCTCTGGAATAACTTTACTGAGCCCAAGATTAATTAGCAAACAGATCCTTTATTACCGATTTCCTCTCTGGAACCGTTCAGAGTTTTTGAATGACCTGTGATATTTTCTAAGAAAGCTTGGAATGAGCAGGAGCTATAGAGTGGAGCCTGACCAAATCAATAGCCTGTTTTGTTTTTTTTTCAAGCATGGGCAATAGTGTCTGTTACAGCGCACACACACACACACACGTCAGGTTTTGTCTGCTCCCTTGCGTGCTAGGTGTTGGATGGTACGCAGATTCGCGCCCTCTCTCGCGCTGCGTTTACCCGGAGTCTCTTGATGCCAGCCCTGGTGATCTGCTGGCAGTCGTACAGCTCGATGCGATCTAGGGAGTGGCAGGTCTTCAGGTGCTCCAGGGAGGCGTCGGTGATCAGGGGGCAGTTGTCCAGCTCGATGACCTCCAGGCGGTCGTGGGCGCAGGGGCCACTGCCCAGGTGACGGATCCCGTCGTCCGTGATCAGCTCGCAGTGAGACAGGCTCTGCGAGGGGAACAGCACACACTCAGGAAAGGCCGGCCAAGCTACTGAAACCCCTCTCGGCATCCGCGCACTGAAATTCTACAGCCAGGACAGCTCAGCCACAAAACCCTTCCTGTAACCAATGTGATACACAAGCCCAACTGTATACACGCTTCATCAAACCAAATCCACAAGCACGTGAACCGTGTTAAAAATGCCACGAATGGCACAAGGAACATTCCAATCACCTCCGCTAGATGGGGATATTGTACCGTCTTTTTTTTTTTTCCCCAAACCACACCAACACGGCAGCGCCCGCCTCTGCAGCAGGAAGCCCAGCAGACAGCTCCCACTCAGCCAATGGCAGGACACTGACACCCGACCACACAACCAGGCCAGGTCTGTCACATGACCGACAGGGACGGGGAGCCAACCTGTGTTCCACTTCAATACTCCAAACCCCAGCTCTTCTTTAGGACCTCATTTGTTTTAGACTTAGAAAAGCCTAAAGTAATTGGTTTAAGGAGGAAAACAGAGCACTGATGAGAATAAAAAGGAAATAACCTCACTGGGGGTTAAGACAGGATTCACTCAAAGCACTGCATGCAGACCAGCCCAGCTCCACTCCCCAGGATCCCCTGAACAGCTGGGGCTTAAAGAGAACCAGAGAACCTGCAGGGCTGTGGATCTCATGAGCCGAGATCTGCAAGACATTCTGCACCCCTTTCTTTTCCAACTCATAATCGCCACTGGCTTTTCTTCCCACAAGCTGTCAGATCCCTGAACTCTACCCCTACCTCTGGCACACACTGATGTGTTTTTTCTCACACTGGTCGTCAGACTTTTTTAAGCTGCAAGTTATTTAACTTGTTGTTGCTGCTGCTGTTCTGCATTTATGTTTTTGGCGATTCCTCTAATGTCTTGTTATTGGAGCATGCATCCAAATAAGCATTTTACTGCACTTGTGCATGTGACAAACTGAACTGAACCTCCCGAATCAATCAGAATGATTTAGTGGGCATGTAATAAGCGGCAAAAGGTTAGTCAAGCCACACCTCCCCGGCTGCAACGCGCCAGCTGTACAGGTAAAGAACGAGCTTGCTAAACCCTCGGCTTCCCCTGGAGGGGATTAACGCGGAGTCCGAGGATCCGGCGACGAGGTTCTGACTCACCAAGACCTGCAGCTGCGGGCAGTGAATGGACAGCTGGATGAGGGTACTGTCCGTGATCTGCAAGAGAAAGATTGGTTACAGGAAGGGTTTTATAGCTGAGCTGCCATGCCTGTAGGATTGCGCCCTTCAGCAGCTGGGGGGTGGGGGGAGAAAACCCACATTGGTCATGCTGGGCGCCCCCCTGTCTTAAGCGGGGAGCAGTCCAAAACACATGACGCCATTTCTCGAGGGCATCTCTTGCCTCTGCTTTGACCACTGCTAACGAAAGGCCAAAGTGAAGTCAACTACTTAGATCAGTGACTGTCTGGAGAGAGGGGTAACATTAATGCCTAGTACACTAATATGACGTTATTGTTTGTAATTATATTATAATCCTTATCCGGATAATGATATTCATTCAAGATGTTGATAGAGAGTAGATGTTAGAAGGGGAGGAGGCTTTTTTTGAGGGTGTTTTGGGGCCCACAGGGCAGTTTCGAAGGATTAAAGAGCATGTGGTGGTAGCTGGGTATCGAGTGGGCGATTACAGAGCAGGCCAAAGGGAGCTCACAGCGTCTGCGGGAATTTACAGGGGAGGTGAAGGACGTGCAGAAGCAGCTCACCTGCACACACTCCTCCAGGTCCATCTTCTCCAGCTCGTGGCAGTTCTGAAAGACGGGAAACCGAGAGGAGGTCATGGAGAGGCACACTGCCAGTTACCACGTCGTCATTAGGATTGCCTCTGACGGGACGTCGCAGCAATAAAAGATGTCAAAGAATTCCCCATTATCAGCGGCCGTCTTCATTTTTAAGGGAAACGACAGCCCCACTATTTTGGAATCCCTGAATAGATGAAGTTCCTTGAAATCTGAGGATCCAGGAGTGCACCCCTGCTTTAAATAAATAATCCTTGCACCTACACTGTAGACAGCAATTTTATGGATAGTCCACTTAAAGTGCCACCAATGCGTAGCCCCGACACATTTCCAGTCCCCTCACCACACATCAGCTGTAGGTGGGGAGGAGAACAGAGTAATGAAGCCAGTTCATAGATGGGGATTATTAGGAGATCAAGATTGGTAGAGACCAGTGGGAAATTTGGCCAGGACACCAGAGTTTTTCCCTTTTCCCAGGTGGTCTCCTGCCCAGGTACTGGCCAGGCTCGCACCTGCTGAGCTCCAGTGGGTGGCCAGCTGGGAGCTGCAGGGTGACGGAGCTGCTGACTTTCCCAGGCCACTCCGCCACCTCTGGCCTTGGCCACTCCGCCACCTTCCAGGCAGCCACGCGGCTTTGTCGCGGGTTAAAGGCACGAAACGGCACGAGACAGCGGGTGATGCCAACGGTCGCGGTCCGGGCCGCAGTAGTGAGGCGGTGCCCGGGTACTCACCCGAGCCAGCGTGGTGAAACCGACGTCTGTGAGCTGGGAGCAGCGAGCCACCTCCAGGATTCTGACAGAGAGGGGGGGGGAGGCAACCGATGAAATCATTTTTCAGCCAAGACATTTTTTTTAGTTTATCCAGGGTGAGAAGGAAAGAAGACTCAATGTAATGGGGGGAGGTGGGGGGGAGGAGAAGGGGGGTGGCTGCCCACTTGTGTGTCTTGATTACCAGCCTGCCCCCTCGGTACACCACCCAGGGGCAAATCCCTACCTGAGCCGGGGGCAGTTCTGTCCCAGGGCGTTGAGGATGGCGTCGGTGATGTTGGTGCAGCCGGACACACACAGCGACTGCAGGCGGTGGCAGCCGCGGCAGATGGTGATCAGCCCCTCGTCCGTGATCTGCTGCTCGGACAGACGGAGGGAGGAGGCGTGTTGAAGGGCAGCTGTTCCATGTGCAGGTCAGACTCCCACTGTGCCATCCCTCTCTCTCCTAGTCTATAATACTCAAACTGCGCGCGCTTCCTTGAGCCAGACCTGGGATACTTTTACAGTTTTTCTCATCGAGTTGGAAATGTGTTGTCTTAATGTCATTTTAGAAACAATTCTCAGGAGTGTAAACCAAACAGCTTGACGAGGCGAAACTCACACTGAGCCACGTGCAGATTTTCCCAGGCTCAAAACCAGTTCTAAGCCATAAAGCACAATCGGATTCCAGATGTTTGTTGTTGTTTTCTAACAGCTGAAGAGGCCGACCGATCGGAACCGGACTTACCGAGCAGGTCTGCAGGTTTAGCGTGACCAGTTCTGGGCAGTGGGCGCCTATGTACTTCAGCGCCTCGTCTTCCAGCTGCAGGGAAGGAGAGAAGCCGAGGCTCGCGATCAAGAGTTTCTGCCGCACACACGCCCCCCTCCACCCCCCCGCGGTCCAGGGGGCAGATCCTAGGACACTTACACGGAGCCAGGCATGTAAGGCACGTTAACCTGCTGCACACTGGGGTTTGGGCTGCAAAGAGCTTGGGAGAGATTCTGTGCAAGTGCTCCAAAACTACTGCTGATGGCAGATGGGACACAAGGATTAACCGCGCTAGTGACTCCGATAGAGGACAGCACCGACAAACATGGGTGTAAAAAAGGCAACCACAAATGTTAGGATGTATGAATGATAGGATCTACAGTCAAAAGCACAGAACTAAAACCAAGTGTGCAACAGAAATTGCAAATGCATTTACACACGCAACAAAAATTGCACGACACGCTAGTAAAGCTTCTTGTGTAACGTGCACAAATTCGGCCATCACATTATAAAAAAGGATAATGCTATTGTGGAATCAGTCCAGGGAAGGGCAATCAGACACATTCTAGGGCTTACGGGGTTGTCCTACACTGACAGGCTGAAGGAACCGGACCATTTTAGAAGGCGGCGAGGGGACTTGATTCCGGTAATCAGAACCCGCAGATGCTCCGACACAGCCGACCAGGAGGATTTCTTCAGAAAGAGCAGCGTACCAAGAGCAACCTCTGTGGAAGTGCATTTACAACCGAGAGCAGGAGGCACTGCTTTCCTCGAAGGGTTTTCGGGAGTGTCGAACGAGTCATGCAGCCGTGCTCTTCAAGCTGATACCCTGGCTTCTTTCGAGACACAGCTGGGAGAGATCCTGGGATCAACAGGCCAGATGGGACTAACGGCCTCCTCTCAGTTGTAGCCGTTCTCATGCTATTAAAAATGTCAGAGACTGGTATCAAGTTCTCTCTTTCCTTATTTCTTCTCAGGAAAAAGAAATCATTTTTATACCAGCCCAACCTTGAACTGGCAGGTGCTGACGTCTCAGGCTCTCTGGCAACAATCCCTGTACCCACCTCAGCAGAGAATGAGGTCGGTCCCGCTCCTCCGACACGCCCACCCGGCAGGAGAGCTGCACAGAGGAGAGGCAGGCCTCTCCCAGGCCACCCTGCAGGCCTGCAGGCGCGTTGCATGACCGTGCTCACGGGGTGCAGGAAAGCCTACAGAGCCCTGCCCTTCTCCTGCTCTGACCGAGCCTGTCAATACGGATCAGCCAAACACGAGAGCTTGGTTGACATTCAAGGTCTGCACAGTGGGCAAAGGGAAAGGGTGGTGAAGCCAGGAAACTGATGAGGGCCACACATCCTGCTTTGATCAAGCCAAGGCCCCTCATGCAGATGGCACAGCGGGTGATCACTCATGGAAGGGGAGCTGGGAGCACGTGGAGCCCCTGCTATGCTCAAACGCCTTGCCCCAGAGGTAGCACGCACGCAACACAGTGCCAAGCACAGAACAGCTCGACGGTTCAAATGAGACGGTATCTGGCAGCTTGGCTTTGTAAGCTGTGCGGGGGCTGACTCCTCAGCCGCTTGTGAAGAAGAAGGATATTTGTGCACTGGAAAGGGTGCCGGTGGTGTACCTGGGTGCAGCCCTTAAGAAAAAGCCCCTTGAGTCCTGGGCAGCAGCACACCAATGCCTGGATCCCATCCTTGGTCACCTGATCACACCAGGAGATGTTGAGCTGCTCCAGCAGGGGGCACCCTTCACTGGGGAGAGACAGAGAGACAAGGCCAAGCATGGCTGTCAGTCTTGGTCTGACCTGCACAGTAAATCACCTACAAAATGCTCTAGCACACCAAGGGTGGTGGGAGTGTGGGACAAGCTACCCAGAAAAGCTAAAGCTGATACCCAGGCTGCTTTCAAAAAAACACTGGGTGAGATCAGATGATCCTCGGATCTGTCAGTGACTGACTGCCCACTGTGTCAAAAGGTCTCTCCTTGTTCATTACCTTTCTCTCCTTGTTCATTACCTTTCTTGTGTTGTATGTTAAAGAGATGTTTTGTCTACGGGTTTTCAAATGTTGTGCTCCCAAGGATGGTTTGTTTACATCTACAGTATGATTTGTATTCAAGAATTAAATAAAAAAACAACTACAAAATGGTATTTTGAGCATGTGTATTGGTGTCACGCAGTACTCTAAAACTCATGATCAACACCCTGTATTGTGCACTCACACACACCTGAATATGCAATCAAATCTGTAATTCTTTCATTTTACAGAGTAGTGGTTGTTAGCACTGGTCCTAAGTTGGGACTCTTGTGTTTCTGGTTTTTGGGCCAGCTGAGTTGTTAGTGCCAGGCTTATTGATCCCTTTAATTGAACATTTTTCTTGATTTTTTTTTCTTGATTAGATCTTATTTCTGTGCTCAATCTTTGGATACAAAAAGACTCTGCTGCAGGAGTATTACTCAGGAAAAACTTCAGCACACGATGCTCCATCCACACATGAGGACCGGTGTGAAACCCCCAGATTGTTTCAGGGTGGATTCATCACCAGCCTTCACTAGAGACAGATTAATTAGCCCGACTGATAAAGAGCTCGTCTGGAATGAAAACCAATAGACACTGGGGTTCTCCAGGACCAGTGTGCTCTCAAAAAGAAGGAAGATCCCAGACAGTGGCACTGGATCTGAATCTGGAGTTAAAGTAAATATCAGTGCCTGTGGCTCAGGACTGTGACTCAGTGTGATAGCACAAGTCACTGAGAGGCTAGCGTGGGAGATGTCAACGTCTCGCAGTGTCTGACTTGTCACAGTGCATCGGGGTCACCGTGTGTTAGTCAGACACTGAGGTGTGCTGTCTGCGAGTGTGAACCTGCTCTCCCTGTTTCTCTGCGTGGGGCCCTGACTCACCGGGTCTAAAGGGAGCGATGCAAAGGTGTGAGGAACCATTAACATTCAACGGAAGCACCCTCGTCACTCCATGAACTGATTTAAATGGACTTGTGGCTACACATCACAGCGCCTGTCAGGAGCCTTTAGTCTCGCTCATGTCTGGTTCAGAGATGGCCCTGATGCCCCGTGAGCGTCCACATGTGCGCACGTGCACTGGTGTCTTGTGCACAGGGTGACTGACCTGAGTGCCTTGAGAGACAGGTTAGTGATGGAAGTGCAGGAGGCCAGGTCCAAGTGCTTCAGCTTGGGGCAGAATTTACTGAGGCTGGTGCTGGTGCTGGAGAAAGAGGAGAAAGGGGAGATGGTGAAGGAGTTTAGGGAGGGACAGCGATAGCAATGGAGGGGGTGTGGTATAATCAATCAATGCCATGGGAAGGAGCGCAGAAACGGCAGAAAGTTCTTTAGACAGAACAGCTGGATTTCGGGAGAAGGTACCTCTTCGCTCTCTTCCTCTCAGTTGCAGAAAGAACTCTAACAGACGTCCCAGTTTCTCCCAACCCAAACCTTCATTGCTTGGACTTGCCATCGAGCCTCAGAGCCCTTTGCTTACTGTACCCAGGACTAAATCTCAGTCTTCGGATGGTCCTGCCTCTCCTGTCCCTGCTCCTTAGTTACAGAATGCCCTTGCTGCATCTCGCTGAGAGACTAATTCTTTGATTCTCTGCAAATCCAAACTCAACTTCCACCTTTTTGACTAAGTCCTGTGTCTGATGGCTGCATTTCATCCTGTACGTTTGTTCAATTTTTTTTTACTTTTTATAACATTTATGTACAGAATGCACAGGCCTTTGGAAAGGCACTTATTATTATTATTTAATAATAATAATCAACAAATTGACTAGACACTGTCAGGGGGGAGCTGGGTTTGCGCCAGGCAGTGTATCCCCAGCTTGCTGATCCGACAGCAGACAAACTGTGTCAACCCCCCCTGTGCCCTGCGCCCGAGCTGGGATTCGCAGGCTGCCAGCGACAGCTGAATCAGCCCCCCCCACACCACTGATGCCAGCTCAGCTCAGGGCCTGGCTGTGCAGGAACAGAAGAGCAGAAAGGTGGTGCGATTGTCTGGGAAGTGGGAAACAGAATTCTTCCTCCCTGTTATCATCCCCGCCCGGCACTCACGCGTCTGTGATCTTGGTGCAGCCATTCAGATTGAGCACTTCAATGTTTCGGCAGTTTTGGGCGAAGGTCCTGCAAACAGAGCAGCAGTGAGGCAGACACTCATTTGCCATCTGCATTTTATTAACACTCACAGGGGTTCCGGAAAAAGACTAGCAGCACAGTTAGGAAAACCCTTGTTAATTAAAAACGCAGCTTAAAACCAAAATGGCCCAAACAGTGAAAATCAGTCAATAAGCCTTTGTCAATAAGAAAACAGGAGAAAGATATTTTTAAAAACAAAGTAGTAGGTGAAAAACTGGTAAATAAATTTCTTAAGTTTAACTCGGATCTGCAGTTCAGTGATCAAGGATTCCCAGAGAAACTTGGGGTTTTGGATTCCAAAGCGGGTACAGCTCTGACCAATACTCACGTTTGCCTCTACCCATGTGAAACCCAACCACAGCTGTGTACAATGTACGACACCAGTCCAAACTGCCCAGGTCCTCCCACACTTACCAGGCTCGCGAGTACCCCCCCACAACCACCGTGCTTCTCCCCAGGTCTCACCTCAGCGCGCTGTCCCCGACCCCCAGGCAGCCCCTCAGACTCAGCTTCCTCAGGAAACCCCCACAGCGCTTGGAGATGTTTTCCACCACACGCCCCTGCAACAACAGTGAACCGTCACTGCACTGCAGCCCAGCGGGAACAGGTACAGGCCCACCCCCTGCAACAACAGTGAACCGTCACTGCACTGCAGCCCAGCGAGAACAGGTACAGGCCCACCCCC